AATCTCTCTACTCCTCCAGCTTCGTGGGCCACGCTTTCCGCGACGGTGGTTGCCAGGTGCAGTTTGCCGCTTTGCATTACTGCCGCGGGAACAGTGTCCATACACACCTCTCGCCAACTACCACCGTCTGTGCATCCTCACCGCCGCGCTGGCTCAGCGCGGCGGTGAGTTGCACCTTGGGACACCACCCGCCTACTATCTGTTGTGGCCTGGTTCGCCCGCGAGGGACTCACTAGGTCGATTTCGGCCCCGGCCGGGGAGCAGGCCGAGGGGGAAGGAAGGGTAGTGACACCAGGTGACACCAGAAAGGAATATATACATAAGAGACTATATAAATCCACTACACACGTTTGGAGCGGGTGGGCAGCAGTGGCGGCAAAGGATGACAAGTTCATAGGACGTGGTGGTGGTAGCAGATAAACATCTCGAGAGTGTATGAGGTGTGGAAGTGGGCGAACTTTCGCCTCCGCTTGTCGTCGCTGGAAGTGGACGTTTCATCTTCCATGTTCGCCCCGGTGGGCTAGTTGGTATCCTCGCAACTTTCTAGAGATCAGGTCAGGGGTTCGGATCCCGGCGTAAGCGAGATTTTCTTGTAAAGTGAGTTTTTCTCTCGCTTCCGCTCCTGGCCTTGTGGATAGCGCTAGTTCGTGTGTACACAGCGGGAAGAGAGTGCTGAACTCCTTTCGCATCGAAAATCGAAGGCAAAAGTACCTCAGGAGGGGAGGGTAGAGAGGGGCTCTTCTGTGTGCCCACGGGTTGGAGTAAACGGCACTATTATAGTGCTGTGAGCGCTGATTTGAAGTGAAGGCAAAAAAACAATGTTCATGGTTGGCTTGTGTTCGTTTCGTTTGCCTGGCCCTCGCGCGGCGAGTAGGAGGGGGCTGCGACGGCCTCTCTCTATACGTGGATGCCCCTTATCGAGCCTCCAAATGTCGCTTGCTCAAATTCCACAAACTGTGCTGTGTTTAGGGGCTTTCGGAAGTGCACAAGTATTGATATTTGTTCGTTTGTTTTAGTGGATTCTATTTAACTTTTCCAAACGTTCGGAGTACAACGTGGAAACAGTTGGTCGAGGCAACCTATGGCATGGCAGTAGCTACATCGCGTGCTTAGGAGGGTGTCCGGGGCAGTAGGAACAGCAGTACCGCATGTTGGGAGGCACTCATCAGGATCGGAACGGTCCAAAATCGTGACAACAAGAGCAACATCGAACGAAAATAAAAGTGACATCGTCATTACTGTATCAAGGTTATTCCGGATTTTTAGGTGTATTCGACCGTGAAGTCTATCTATAGACATATACTGCTGTACAGTAGACCAGGAACGTACGTACTGAAATGATGTTGGTCCGGCAGAGGCCAAAAAGCGAGACATGCAAAAAAAAAACAACGACGAGCGTTGTTCGTTGCGATTTCATGTACAGGAGGAGATTTTCAAATTATCCTTCCTGAAAATTAGGCAATGACAAGGATGTCTGGCACGGCGGCCCCTGGTTGTTGAACAACCTGGATCGAGCGCGGCTTCGCCCCCTGAAACGACGTGGGGCCTAGTGCGACATGCCCTCAAACTAGAGGACCCCGAACCTGAGAGCTGGGAAGCAAATAAAACCATGCAAGAGTTTTGTCGGTGACGCCTGCAACAAAAAAAAAAACATGATGCAAAGCGTAGGCTCTCACCTCTCGCACCATGGTGGTCCCCCTCCCAAGAACAACAAGCGTGCCTCGCGGTGGGCGCCCTCTGTAAGCAAGAACGGCCCGGGGGTGCCAACGCAGAGCAGCGAACCACTACAAGGTGATAGCCTCCTCTCCCCGGGTCTCTGAGTCTGTCAGGAAAGGTACGCCATACGCAACGCATGGTACGCAGCGTGGTTCATTTGCGGCATGCAGGGGCAACGCATAATCATTGGTCGGGGACGTTCAACACTTTGCCCTATCTGTTGGGACCCCATCTTTTCGTGCTCGGTCCTCCGTCCTCCGTGCTTCGCCGACCCCACTTGCCACTGCTCAGGCTGGCTTGACTTCTACTCTTGTCTGCTATTGCCGCACCACACCAGACGCGCAACAATCATGTCTACCATCCCATCATTTCTTGTGGGGCTGGTTGCCTCTGGTGTGGGCTACGCGTACCTGTCGCGCGAGCTGGTCACCTCTAGGAATCAGCTAATGTTGAAGCACTTCAAGGCCGACGGGGTCGAGCCCTACCACCCTGTGCGGAAGGTGATGTCCCGTACTACTGTAGTGCCATGGGGTGCCACCCTGTTTCACGGGGTTGGATGTAATGAACGCGTAGTGACTTTGACTGTATGGTTCCAACGGCACTATCATACATCTGGAGTCTTTGCCATTGTCGTTTGCATTCCGTTGTCTGTAGAAGACATCATGAATGCACCTACAGAACCTACAGAGTACCTACAGAAGTAGGTACTCAAACGTGACCGCGTGTAGAGCAGTACATGCTGCGGTAGGGGCAAGAACTTGGCGGCACTGCTACATATGGTCCGGTATATCGACACTCTCAGAATCTATAGTACGCTGCCTGTGGGCCCCCATTAGGAAAATAATCAGCAACCGCGGGCAACACTAGCATGTGGCGACTATGGTCATGATCATGTGGGATTACTTTAACTGACAAATAGTCTACCCTTCCAAGTGTCTTCACTGACTACTCCCTATGAATACTGGCGCTTCCACAGACTACCAGCAAGTTCCCACACCAGTTTCAAATGGACCTGGCCTGCTCTGCTAGTGGGTCAACACGTCACGACGTTGGCGATGTAGCTATAGCATGAGCGCCTGAACTTCAAAGTTGAGGTTTGTGATGATGTACCGTAGGGTGCTCGATCTTCACTCGTCTTCCTCGCACCCTCAACCGACCACGTCGACGAAGTCGGAGTTTCCACCAATGTTTTCTCATGCGTTTCCCATGCATAGGACAGGCAGGTTACATGTTTGCACACCACTTCAGGGTACCCTACAACAACTGCATGTACCTTGCAACACCTGACAACAAGAACGATCATTCCTTCACCTAATATTCACGTCCTCTACTCAAGCTTGAGACTAATAATAGTTTTCCTGTTTGTCTTGCGATCCTGGCCCATTCCCTCGGTCGCCCTCAAAAAACGTTTTTTGCCTTGCCAAATGCCTCGCCAGTTCGGGAGACCAAAAGGCGAGCGCGGCGGTTGCCCAAGCGGCTCTAGCTTAAATTCGGAAACGAGGAGGGGGGTCGTCAGTGGTTTACCGGAACCCGCGCCAGCGGGTGAGCATCACCTCGTCACGGATGCCCGCACCAAGTGGAACGCGGCTGTTTTGCGATGCTCCGACGCGGTATTCAGCGCCTTGTATGGCCGCGGAGGTGCGACGGAGGGCAACGCCAAGGGTGGTGACGAACCACGGGATTCATGATGCCCCAGATAAGGAACAAGGTGGTGAGGAGCGGGCCACGTTGCCGCCGTGCGACTCTGTTTTGTGCTGGGAGACATGTTTTGAGGTGGGCAGCAGGCGAAGGGAGACCAGAGGAAACATGCGAATATATCCTTACCGTGGTCGCTCATTACATCAGCGACGACGAGGCGATTACTGCTTCTGGGAGAAGGACGCGGGAAGGGAAGGGATAAGAGCTGCTTGCACATGAGCCGAAAACTGTCTCGGAAGGTTGTCCGCACCCCGCAAGGGCGCAGCCTCTTTTCCAGTCGGGCAAGGGGAGGCGTTTTGTAGGGAGGCAGGGGCGACGTTTCTGCGACACGATACCTGCCTATGTTTTGCTGCTGTGGCCAAAGGTTAAGGTAGTTCACCAGGGTTTGGGGGTGGGAATACTTAAAAGGGAGCTGCAGTTCGTGATTTGAGTGCTTTTCTACTTTACAAGGAAGGGTCAACCTTTTGCTATTCGTGCGATGCGTATCATGGCCTCCCGAACATGTACGGGTCAGCTGGAGCCGCCTTTGTTCAGCCAGCTTGAGCTAGTACGTATGTCCTTCAGGTGTTGCATTAAGCGTGTACATAGGAGTGCGGTGTTCTTACCCCCCCGTGCTCGCGTAAGCGGCGGGCTCTGTGTGCATATCTGCAACTTTTGAGTGTATGGATTTGTGGTAGAGCTGTGAACGCTCGGAATACAGCCCTTTCTGGAGTGGTTGCCATCTTCTTGCACGGGCCTCTTGGGTTTGTTTTCTGCGCCGTGAAATTTCAAGTATGCATCTAGCCTAGATATCTCGTGCGTGTTGTCTCTTATTTTCGCTCTGTCAAAAACCCTTGTCTCCCCAGCTCGACCGGGGTTTGTAATTATTGTTTGGTTGCAACATGAACAGCTGCTGGAGCCGATGTTGTTTGGTCTTCATGTGAATTCTACCGTACATTCCACAACGGCGGCTTCATGAAGCGATCGTCCCGTCCTCATGTTGTGCCGTTGAATGGCATCGAGCCAGGACTTCGGCTACTCTCACGCAATACAACACACAGCAGCAGTAACGCAGCACGTGTATTGAGGCTTGGCATGCACACGCTAGACATCACTAGGAAAGGGTGTTCAGTACGTCTGTTTACAAGATCGTTTCCTTACTACCTACGGTACGAGTGGTGATGCGCAGAGCAGCTGGCATCCACGGGGCGACGGAGAAACAACACAAAAAATACAACGGTGCACAGACGCTACACCTACTTTTTAATACTTGATTACGCACGACGACACCACTCCCAACTTGGAACGCGTCCAAGGAGAAAAACAAAAACACCACAGGCAGATGTAGCATGTGGCTCTCTAATCAGAAAGAGTCGACATATTGGTAGCAGTGGGGGAGTACAGTAGGGCGAGAAGACCACCTGCATGCTTTGGCGTGCCCAGTGCCCAACGCCCAGCAAGAAGATAAAAGATTTGCAAAACCACCGTCCACCGCTCCATCCCTCGTTTTTCGGTTTCTCCGCAATCTCCGAAAAAAATATGGCTGTTTCCCCTGCCCTCTCCTCTCAGACCGCCGGCGCCCACAGACCTGGCGCCCACTCCAGGAATTGATCGATTCGCACCTGTTCCAGACCTAGACCCTGCCCTTGGTGTCAAGTACCGCTGGGATCGCTGGCTTTACCGACACTCTCTGGTGAGGTATCAAACGGAAGAGAGGAGCAGCATCAAGAACGTAACGGGGGGGCCCCACATTGTCTAATTTGGCGCCAACGGGACAGATATACAGTGGGAGACAGCGGGAGTACCATGGCCAATCTTGTGGACAGCTGGTTGAACGGGATCGGTCTGGGCTATGCTGTGCCCATCTTCGCCGGGCAGGGTATCGACTCGCCGGACATGCTCTCCGAGCTAGACGTGGTTGACTTTCCGGAGCTTGGAATCTCGGACCAAAACGATCGCAAGAAGGTATGCAACGAGCACCCGAGACTATACACGTAAAGCACTCGACGCGAGGCTGGTTGATTGCATCACCTCGGCGCCAAAGGAGACGGACTCCCGTGACTATGCCCATCAACGTGGCTTGTTGTGTCTCCTTGATCGATCTCTGCGGCTGGTATGGATCCAGTTCATGCAGCTCTGGTTGTCTCGGGAGCTCGCGCTCTTCAACCGCAGCAGTACAATATGACATCAATAGCCCTTTCGTATGCATATGTAGGATACCATGTCGAATGTCCAACCGCCTGTTTCACCGAGAAGTCCCACAGCCAGTAGCCGACGAAAGACAGCTGTTAAAAAGCAGGCTAACAAGCAGTTAGAACGTCTACCTCTCTAGGAGTTGCTCCATGAAGCTGCACTAGGTCCAACATGCCTTGATCTGCCACGTAGTGAATGAGCGTGCGGCCATATCGCGAGCTCTATCGCAGCACATCGTTGTAGCAGCAGAGAACCGGCGAAGCGGCGGTGGGGGGGAAGAAACGGCGAACGGGCACTGCTGTAGAAGCGAGTAGGGCGGCCGAGGCAACGCTTGTGGCGAACTATGCACCCGGCTGATGTTGTTGCGCCCGGTTTCCCTCCCTGCCGTATGCTATACTCCTTTATGTATGTCCTTTTTATTGCCTTCGGCCTCCGTGCTGTGTTTCTTTTTTTCATGACCTCCCTGCCTACTCTACTCTGCTGTGTTGGGTACCTTGATCTCGCTTTGCTGTTGCCTTTGTTTTTGTACGTCTGGCTGTCTGCCCATCTGCCGCCTCTTTGCCCTGTTTGCTCCGTTACTCCCATGCCCTGGTGCGCAGTGCCTGGTGCTGGTACGTTACCCTTTGATTTTTTCTTTCGGCGGGTGTGGGAAGCGTCCTCCTTAATTTTTCTGTTATTTTTTTTTTATTTTTGTTTTGTTTTATTTTGATCGGTGTCCGAGGGCGCTTTTCTCGAACGGTCGGTGCGATATCTGTTCTTTTCTTTCTATCATTTTGTTTCCTTCTTCCGAGTGGTTTGTACCCTATTTTTGTTTTTTTTTTGTTTTCTCGCGGCGTCGTATGTGCCGGGTTTGAGACCACGGGCTCCCCATTTTTTGTGGACTATAGAGCTAATGTGAGAAACAACAACAAACAACAACATGCTGCCGCGCGAGATTTGAATACGCTGGGTGTGCGATTATGTCATGTGATATGCATAGCAACGTTGTTCATCGATATATATCATGACCACGCTTGTCTTTTTGATCGATCTCACGCTGCTCTTTTGTCCATTTTCCCAAATGCCCGTTCGACATGCTGTCTCTTTTGGGAAATTAATGCGGGGTTTTTGATGCGCTGCGTGTGCCTTCATGTCACTTGAATGCATATGTTGTTGACCTACCAGTAGATGCACATAGGATGTTACTGCTACTGCTGTGTTCCTTTTCCCACATGCCTGGCCGACATGGACACGCATCCTTCCTTCACTGCTGTTCTCCACACCCGTCTCCCAGCTCTTCTACCTGATCCAGAGAGTAAAGCTGGCGCTTGCGCGGGGCCGGGCCGCGGAAGACAAAGCCGCGCCGCAGGCAGATTCCGTGGTTTCTTTAGCCCCCAAGGCGGCAGCAGTACACGCAACAGCAGCAGCCAGTCAGCGGGAAGCAGGCGCGAAGGAGCAGCGGGCAGCAGACAAGACCCCTTCCTCTGTTTCTCATACCTCGGTGCGGTTTCGGAGAGAGCTAGAGGTGCCCGCGGCTAGGGATGTGGCGGCGGCGTCGCCACGCGCTGCTGTCATCAAGAGCACGCCTTCCGCGGTAGCTCGCCTTACCCCCGCCAAGGCCCAGCGCCTGCCACCGTCGCACAGGCGGCCGAAGACACCGCACGCCGACGGGGCCGTTAGGGGGAGGAATCAGCAGACGTCTGCTGCCGTCAGGTCGCCTTCCCCCGCAGCCAACAGAGGCAGGCAACAGCGGCAGCAGCAACACCAGCAGCCGGTAGCTAGGCTCGCGGCAGCGCCCCCCGAGACGGGCGTCGCAGTCTTGGCCGTGGAACACCACGACGCGGCGTTGCGGCACGAACAACGGGGGGTTGGCAGCAGCAGCGACGGGGAGGGGGCACGCGGACGGCCTACCGCCCACGACAGGAGACCGTCGCGCTCTAAGAACATGAGCAAGTCGGCGGGGGAGCAACGCCGGAGCGCGTTGGAGCCGGTGCAGCTGGACGAGTCGGGGGGGCGAGCCAGCATCTCCTCTTCCGACGCAGCAGTCGAGCATCTGCTGGCGTCTCCACCAGGCCATTCGCTTCACCGCCCGGCTCCGGGGGAGTGCACGGCGGAGGGGGCGTCCCCACGGGGGGTCTCTAGATCGCAGGCTGGGGAGGGGTGGACGGAGCGGTCGAAGTCGTTCGGCAGTCACGCCGTTGCGCAGGAGGAGTCTCTCGCCAGGCGACGATCTCTAGAGGGGCATCCGCCGTCGTCTAACTCCGGCAGTGCCCCTCTCGCTACCGCTGCGTTGGTCCCAGCAGTGGAGGTCGCGCGTCTTTACCCGGGGAGACGAGACGCAGCTGATGCCGGCAGCGGCACCCGAAGGAACAGGGCGGAGACCTTGGAAGCGTGGAACGGGGACGATGATCCCGTCGGATCAGTTTCGGCTTCCGTCCGGAGGGGCAGCGAGCGACAAAGCGAGAGCGTCGAGGTCGATTGCGGCGGAAACCAAGCATCGGTGGCGGAGGGCGGCCGGCGGGAGAGCGCGGCGGAGCTAGCCATGCACCTCATCTCGGCGCACAGGGAGGACGTCCGGAGCGCGCTCGCGGCCGCCCGCAAGGACATGGACCTGGTGTCCAAGGCGGACCAGGACCGGCGACCGGCGGCCCTCATGGAGTACGCGAGGGAGGTAGAAGGGGTGCTGGGGGAGCGCCTAGCGGCAGGCGCCAGGCTGAGGAAGGCGCTGAACAGCTACGTCGCTCTGAGGCAGTCGACGATTGGAGGTGATGCCACGGGTACGACACCCCTGGGGGGCCACGAGTTGCAGGCAGGGCGGTCGCGGGTGGGCCGGCGAGGGGTGCACGCGTGATGATTCTGGGGGCTGGGTTACCGCTCCTTCGGGGTGAACGGGGTGAAGCGTTACGTCGTACGTTACGGCATGTCTCGAGCAGGAGGATTGTGGACGTTCTTCTGCTGGGGCTGTCATCGAAAGAAACTGCTCCCCCCTACTGCTGTGTCGATTTTTATCTCTTTTACTTTTTGGTAACGTTGTGTGAGGACGATTATTTTGTTCGTAGCTGAATTTGGTGATGTAGGCGTGGGAGGAGATGCCGCGAAGGGCAGACATGTCAGCAAATCGCTGCAAGTCAACCAACTCTTGTACGGCAGTCCTCCTCCCCGCCAAGAGTTTCTCGTTGGCGGCATCTTTGACACATCAGTGAAGAGGTTGTTGCTGCCTGTGTACAACGTACGTTGCTAAGAGCTGTATCCGTCGGTGGTGTTGATCGACGAACGTCTTTGCTTCCGGCGTCCCTACAATTTGTGCGTTTTTGGTGGAACCTTTGATGGGACTTGTTATTGCAGCGAAACAGAAAGACTTGTGTCGAGGTGTAGTGCTGGTTGGCTCTCGAAGAGCTCTATTCTACTTCCCACCAGTACGCGATGCATGCTTCGGCACAATCTCCTCGCGTGACCGTTTAGGCGTAGAGTTTTATCCCAAGATCGGTAGGCAACCTCCAGGTAGTCGTTGTTGTAAAAATATAATCTGTGCGATGCGGGCATCGGTTGTGCCATCTCTGTGGGAGCTGGAGCGCCTTCGTGGTTTCTCACACGCACCCGGTCGTAGTGAGGAAGTACCCTGCAGTAGACACAGCCGGTTCCGGCATTTGCCTTGAGGAAAAGTGGCGTTTGTGAAAGCGTTTCCGTCGGTGTGTGTTGCTAATTCTCGGAATGCACGTTGTCATTAACATTGTCATGCCTGCTTGGTGGCGAAATCGATTAGACTTTGATCTTTGCTTTGCTAGTATACGAGGCGTGGGGCGCATGGCTCCAGCCAGGAGGTCGAGAGAGACACTTCCCTGGTGGTTGGCCGTGCTTGTTGGACGGGCTGTGTGACCCTTGGAAACGATTGCTATCTAGTGTTTCGCCGAAAGAAATATAAAAAAGGAAGGCTTAGGGTAAGCTAGTCGAACAGATTCGCCTATGTTTTGTGGTGTGCGTCTCTCGCGTGGTTGAAGGTTTGCGGTGTTCATGCCGTTCCGACAAAGGGTCGCCCGAAGGTTCAGATTTTTCGGGCATGCTAAATTGTTGGAAGGGTAGAGAATCCCTCCCGTGGTGGCCCCGGCTAGTGCTTCAACCACAATGTATTAGGTGTAGACTGGCGCCTGAGTAGACAAAATGAAGACAAAAAAGTAACATTTTCGATAAATCCTGTCGCTATTCTTCGACGTTGACGTACGTTGTACCAAAAAGGCTGGCCTACCGGCCTCAATTTGGTGTCCCTGCCAAAGCGGCCGACCCACGTGCCATCCTCTCACGCGTACTGGTACAAGCACACGATCGACTGAGGAGCAACGGGCTGCCTACACAGCGGGCACTCCGGGTTCGTCTGGCACCACCCCACGATGCACTCCCAACAAAACAGGTGTCCACATGGGGTGGCCGCAACGTTCTCCCTGCTCGACATGCAGAGGGAGCAGCGTCGGCGAGATGGAGGAAACAGGGCTACGTCCGCCGGGGTCCTCCCTCGCGTGGCAGCCGGCACTCGCGGCGGCAGCGCCTGCAAGCGTGTCGGGCGCAAGAAGGGATGGGAGGGGAAACAAAAAAAAAGGGTTTAGGTTCGGGCATTGTCACAACTGTTGGCCGCATCCCGTACCGTTGCCGAGTGGAAAAATGAAAGTCGAGGCTCGGCGGCCGTGTGCCACATATTCGTCTTGGAAGCAGCCCCACGGCCAGAGCGGTCAAACCACAATCGGTGCAAGCAACCCAAGGGCCGACGCCCAACATACAACGGGCAGTGTTACCCCAATAGGGGCAGAACCTTCACACTCTTACCGTATCGCCAACTCCCTCCCCAAGGTCGCTAGGGCCCCCTCCCTCCCCGCAGACCGCTTCCCCCTCCGTGCTCCTCGGAAAACTCTCCGACAACGCCGCTCTCGCGGTGGCCCTCCATCGCTCCGCTGTCTCGGCACTCGCCGTGGCAGCCTCCGCCGCCGCCTGCAGCAGCAGGAGCAGCCCCAACACCGCGTAGCGCGTGCGCGCCGCTTCCTGCTCCGGCCGAGCGTACGCGAGCCTTGCGCCGACGGCCCTCATGGCCACGTTCGCAAACCGCCCGTCGAAGTAAAACGCGGCCAGGTGCAACCGCAGGGCCCACTCCAGCACCCCCGACATCGCGGGTCGTCTTCGCCTTGCCCAGGCGAGGACCCGCCGCAAAAACGCCACCACGGGCGGCGGCGACGAGCGGGCACTTGGCGACGCGAGCGGCGGTGCCCGTGCCCCGCCGCCACTTTCGCCGGAAGAAACGTCAATCGCTGCTTCCGTCGGTACCACATTCTCCTCCTCTTCCTCCGACGACCCCGCCCTGTCGGCTGCTGCCGTTCCGCCGGACACCGAAGAAACGGCAATGCCGACCGGCGGTGCCACAGCCGCGCGAGCGCGCGCTCTGGCGCGGGCCGCTGCCAGGGAAGTGGCTGCGCCGCCGCTCCCGAAGGGATCCCTCAGGGATCGTAACCCGTGCCAGCCCTCCCGCATGCGTTCCTGTGATGGCAAGGCAGGCGACCAACCGGGTGTGC